AGGAAATTCTTCCCAATGTATTTGTTAAGGCCATCAAAATTCTGATTCCTAATCTGGACAAAGACATCACAATAAAAGAAATCACATATTACATGAGTAAATATGAATCATTCATTCATTCAAGAGAAATATTTTTAATAGTTCTTTCTGCTGGCAATGAATTTGATTGAACTACATGAAATTGCTGTATCGTATGTCTAGCTGCAGATTTAAAAAGTCAAATACCAGCAATTTCATTTGGTTCAATTTTATACTAGGGGCTGGGAAGAAAATACAGTTCTCTACCTAATAACGTTTACAGTTTAGAGAAGGTAGGCAGGCATGTCCACATGTGATCACAAGACTATATAATAAAGAGCCGACTGCAGGATGTGAAGACAATGTAGCATGGTGGGAACCTAAGTGAGAAATCTCTACCTGCCCTGTCTTGATGCACAGTGTAACAGTATTCAGCAGGAAAGCATGCTGGAAAGGAATTCCTGGCAGTCGGAACAGAATATGCAAATGCACAGTGCTACAAGAAAGATCACTGTGTGGGATCATGGTAAACACAGTGAAGGCTGAAGGCTGGATCCTGAAGGGTTAGCACATTTTTTCCCAAATAAATTTGATGATCATTTTGTGATGATATTTTACAGATGTGGGTATAACCCTGTGATGAAGCTTTCACTTTCCTAGTTAGTGAAAATGAAACACAATGATGAGCAGGTATGATTGTCTTCTTTCCTTGCCTTATCTTTTCCTTCACCGACTTGCTGCAATCCTAATTATTGAAACGAATTTGTAGCAATTTGGGACTGTACTGAATATCTCTTGGCAAAGTACACAGGATTTCAGAGCTGAAAGTAATTCTCCTGAAAAGCAGTAACACATCATTAATTATCCTATTAATATGCTCTGAAGCCTGCTTAGAGAAGGTCTCTTAGTGATAACCAGGACCTCTAGCCAAAGGACGGTGCTGAGTTGCTGAAAGCTTTTACTTTCAGATACAAACGTAATTCAGATGGCAATACCTTTGTTATTCTAAAAGCCCAAAAAGAAAAGCTGTGCTTTTTAAAAATTGTGTTGGGTGGTGCTTTTTTAAAAGTTTGCTTGTTTTTACCCCACTGACAGCTTCTGGAAGGCTACACTCAAAGAAAGAAGCTGTCTGGAGAGTTTAAAGAAAGTGCCACTCACTCTCAGTATTTAAAAGGAAAAACGGAAGCAGCAAAAATTAGTGCTAAGTTAATTTTCTTCCATAATGCTAACCACCTTCCTTACTAAACTGTTCACTGATACGCTGAGAAGCAGCACACGTGGCTAATTTACCATTCATTTCCCTGGGCCACTGGGATTGTGGTGTTTACAGCAGTAAAATAGTGAAATGAGATGGGAAGACAGAGGAAAGAACTAGATCATCCAAACATCAGTTCCCCCCATGCTCCAGGGCTGACTTAGGAACCTCATTTGGACAAAGCAGCTCTGAGCTGCAGTCATCAGGGTGCTATGCTGGCTGTGTGCCAGGAGAAGGGCTAAGTGCTGAACCAGGATGATTTTACTGAAGTTCATGCGGGTGCATGGAGCTTACTTTTAATGTTCCTTACTATAGATTATAAATCTTAACAACATTTTTAATATTGTATTTTTAAGTGTTCCCCAGGGTTAATAAAAGTCTGGAGTCTCCACTAAGCATAATATGCTGATAGCTCATTTATTTAAAATGCCATCTTAAAAATAAAAATTTTAATTAAAAAAAGTGTTTATTTATAATTCATGTTAAATTCTATGAGAACTGGTCTCTGAATAGTTCACATTCATCCCCACTTCACACACACTGATTCTGAATGGGGCTTAGCCAAGAAGCCACCTCTTAAAGTGCTTCAGAATTCTTTTCCTCCATCTTCTGAGCCAGGCTTCCAAGGACCACATTTTTGTGTAGGCAGCCAGACCGGCCTATAGGGAGCCATGGAATCATGACCATGAAAGGGCAGGTCAGGCCTCAAGTCTCATTCTGCTCTGAGCATCCTTTCTGTTACAATTCCTACCCCCAGGTAAACCTTGCCTTGCTGGATACAAGTGGAAAGAAAAGAAGGGCTCTAGTAATGGAAACTTCCAAGCACCAGCATGTCTAGATTCGGATCAGAAGCAAATACCAAAGAGTGATGTTGAAAATGGAATTTGATGGCTGTACCTTCAAAATGTCTGCTCTGGGCACCTCAAAGCCATGGCACCTAACAGTGGAGGAAGGAAGAGGTTGCCTGTTATCATCCTAAGGGCTGAGTCTTTACACTACCAGCTCTCCCTCTCAGGTCAGGCCAGCTCCTTGACCTCAGTTTAATGAATTTCTTCCCTGTTTATAAAGCTCTTCAGGTGCAGCGTGGGTGGGGATAATGCATTCCCTTCTTGGGTATTCATTCCAGCATTTAACAATTTTCAGAGTGCTTCCTGAAGCCTAACCTGATAGGTTCACTGTCGGTGTCAGGGAATTTCATAATTAACATCTGGCACATTTTTAGGTCCCCCGCAAGAGTTGTGCACTAACTACCTACCAGCTCTTTGCAAAGGGTTTAGTATCTTGTAAGGCCCCCCAAAATATTAATTAACCAATCAAACTGCTCCCAGCTGCAATTTGAACTCATTTCTTCTCTAGGTTGGGAAACAGGGAATTTGGTCATTATTCTCTCCATTAAAATCCTGCCCAGACATAACGATTATTATTAAATCCCTCTTACTTCTCTTTTTAGCACCAAGGGGTTTCAATTATTTTCACCTTTCTTCAGAGTTGCAATTCATAGACTCACAGGTGCAGAAGGGACTTAACAATGTAACTCAATCAATAATTATTTCCAAGGCGGATCGAGACCCCCTCAGATTTACTCCCATACTGTGCCATCCCATCCAGATGCAGTTTTCTAGAAGAGCCTGGTTACGCCCCAGGAGAGTGGCTGTTTTGGTTTAAAAATCTGCCCTGGACATGTCAACACCTCTTTCTTTTGGTTATGGTTTTGTGTATTTTTTCTTATGTGTCTGTATTTATAGCTTTGTTCCACATCAGAGTAAGAATAGAGACAGACCCTTTGCCGCTAATTAGAGCCCCACATGTTAATGAACCCCCACCACTCTGCTGCCTTAGAGTGTCGGCAACCCCACAGGAAATTAATAAGAGCCTTAATCACTCAGAGAATCGAAAGGTCACTGCTCACTAAGGGTTCAAATGCAGAAACGGCAACACAATCATACCCTATTTTAAAAGCATAAAAACCACCCATGGGTGTGAAGAGTCTAACGCTCCATCAATAAGCAGACAGATTAGAGCATCAGCTTGGTCATAGGACTAAATGAACATAATCACAGAACAGTTAGTTGCTTATCCTCAAATTATATTAATATATACAGGGATGTGGTCATCTCTTGTACCTCTTAGTTCATTTCTCCAGCTTAGATGCAGTGACTTGGAGCATAAAATGAACAGACTGGATTCCCCAGCATTTTAGCCTTACTTTTCTCATAGCTAGCTGTGCATCAGCTTCATCAGGTGCCCTTTTAACCTAACCTTATGGAATCACAACTTTAAGGAGCAAATGGGACAGGGAAAGAGCACGTTCTTGGTCAGGCCATTCCCTGAGCGGCCAGGGATGAAGAGCACTAATCTTCCATCTCCCAAGAAGGAAGATATTTACACTGTTCATTGCAAAGTATAGATCAGTTTCCTCAATTTTACTCCCTGTGTCTGAAAGGTGAGCCTGAGCAACAGGCTTCAATAAAAAGTAGAAACAAGAAATTATACAATCCATTGCAATAAATGTTCCTAATCCACCCTACTGAGGGTAGAAAATTGAAACAAAGAAATAGTGTTGACACTTAGAAAATTAACATTACAGAATCAAGAGGGAGAAAGTTTTAAAGTCAAGTGCTACGAAGAGGTTATGAACTGAAAGCTGAGGCAAGACTATTAGAGCTAGTAATTAGGAGGTTATTGGAAATGTTTTAAAGCAGCGTTTCAATAGCATGATGAAGTAGAAAACCAGATGGTCTGCTCCCTTCTTTTATCTGTCTATTAAAAGTGGATCCAACATTTAGAACTCGGCTAATATTCTACTTCCAACTAAATGTAATTGCCTGTTCCTTGGAACTACAATGATCATGATTATCTTATCACTAATTCTCCTGCTCTGTGTTATTACACAGATTGTTATTAGTTATCATTTTGTATATATCTCCCTCACTAACATAAATTCTGCTTCAGGGTAGGAGCCTGCTTTCACTAGTACCTTTCTATATCTCCCTAGCATTTGATACAGTGATTCCCACATAATATCTTCTCAAAAAATATTTGTCGAAAGCAAGATGAATTAGATCTATACAAATGTCCTATAATTCAAGGTTTGCACAGCTATGATTTACTAAATGAGACCTCCCTGAAAATACAGAGTAGTTCTATAAAACTTATAAACTTTCAACTTAATTTAAATTAAAACTCAGTGAAAATCAATAAAGTATTCCCTTTTGATTCCAATAGATTCGCTTTTTAAATAATTTTATTGTTTTTGAATTTAATTTCTGTGAATTTGGTGCTTTTTTTAAAGATAACTTTACATTTTGATGATATCTTCAGGAGATCTTGGTTTATACTTTTTCAGCTCAAAGGTCATGTCCATCTGCACATCTCTTTTAGAGAACTCATACATCAAAACAACGTCTAAATTACAACTAGGCAGCATGTCTGAAGTCAGTGATAGAACTGAATTAGAACTCTGAACATATTTTTCTATCAAAAGAGCTTATTAAGAATGTTGTTTAATTTTCAAAGTGATTTTACAAAAACGTCTTTAATTCTGCAGAAGTACCAGCACAGTGGTAGGACCTGAACACCACAACAGTCACTTTACTGCAAGAAGAACAGTACCAATGCAACAGAAGCAGCCCCCATGGTCAGCACCACAGTGCCGCAGTCTGCTGCGGCAGCCTTCTCCCCACTTCTGTATCCTCATCTTAAATCTCACTCTTGGCTGAATTTTATCTTAATTGGAGAGAACCTCTTCAAAGATTCACCACTGTTCATCCCCAGCATTAAGTCCAAGCCCCTCGTTATAGATGATATCCTTTATCCACCGTTCTTTGTCCAGCTTCATCCCTCATCATTGCCTCCATAAGCTCTTCCTTCTGCCGACTTTGAACTACTTAAATCTGTGAAACCCCTACCTTTGTTCTCATCTCTGCTGCTTCCCCTGGTGTATCGCTTTCCCCCATCCTACCTTCCCTGGGATAATTACTGTTTGCCCTCAGCTTCAGCTTAAATGGACTCTCATTTTGGAAGCCAGCATTCCGCTCCCTTGTCTGAGATAGGTCTGCATTTTACATGAACTAATAACACCTTTTCAAAGACTGTGTCCATCGCCTTCACAATTACCTCTTTAGTGGTCACCTCAAAGTTATCCTTTTCAGACTCAAATCCCAATGGCTAGAACAGTTCTGATCACAAAGTATGTGTTTAATATATAATTAATAAATGATTAATAAATGACAGTATACACTTCCAAATTCACAGGTTTCTTTGCTCATTCATTCATTCATTCATTCAAAATAGCATTGAATCCTACCATGCAGCAAGCAATATGTACTAGGAACTGGAGAGTGATGAGTTGAACTCATTGCCTGCTGTGTCAGTCAAGGCTCTTCAGAGAAACAGAACTAACAGGAGATTAAAGATAGAGATACAGATGTATTTATTATTTGAAATTGGCTCATATGATTATGGAGGCTGAGAAATTTCATAATCTGCCATGTACAAGCGGGAGCCCCAGGAAAGCCTGTGGTATAGTTCAGTCCAGTGCAAAGGCCTGAGAAGTAGGGGAGCCAATGATGTAAATCCCAGCCCAAGGGCAGAAGCTGATGAAATGAGATGTCCCAGTTCAAGCAGTGAGGCAGAAATGAGAAAACGAGGAGGGGCAAATTCCTTCTTCCTCTGCCTTTTGTTCTATCCAGGTCCTCAACAGATTGGATTGTGCCCACTCATATTAAAAAGGGCATTCTAGTTTATGGAGTCCAGGGTCCACCAATTAAAATGCTAATCTCATCCTGAAACACCTTCACAGACCCACTCAAAAATAATGTTTAATCTGAGCACTCCATGAGCCAGTCACATTGGCATGTAAAACATTAACCGTCATACATAGCCTAATGGAGCTTATTGTAATGGGAATTTGCTATGGGGGACTGTGGAGGATTTAGGATTTCACACTTAAGACTCCAATGAAATAGATGATTCTTGTGCAAGCAGCTCACAAAGGGCAAGGATTCTCATTAGTGTGGATGAAGTGAGTCCTAAACACACTTCCTACAATAATACACAGTTACTCATAAGTGTTCCGAACTCAGTGGAATACAACTCCTTTAGAAAAGAAAAGTTATAGTAAATCATTGTGAAGTCTTTATTGTGAACTTAAAAACCATCTTTCCCCGAAGAGCTCAGTTTCATTTCTTACCTGATTTTTGTGACCCCCATAAAACACTTTGCTATAAAGTTGAAGCCTTTGCTCCATCTGGGCTATTTGAATCATCTTTTTGCTTCTAAATTTGCCAAATTAAATCCGTTTTTCATTCTTTCATGAGTCATCTTTCTAAAACATCTATGGGATTATGCCTTTCTTTTTTGGATGACCTACCAGGATTTCTAAGTCTTGCTATGAGAATAGAAGTCTCCTCATCTTGACCTGCAGGTCCGCTGAGTATTTGCAGAATTCTCTACTGTAATTCAGATGGGGGGACCTCCTGTGAAGTATGTGAGGATGAGAAAGGACTACACAAATATGTAACACATCAGAAAAAAGAATAGATTAAAGATGGGTGGAGTTGTTTCAAAGGCTCTCTTCACTCTCTGAGTTAAGTTCGAAGTCCTTAGCAAAGGAATTTAAGGTCCGTTTGGCCCTGACTCCTCCTGTCTACCTTAGATTATTTCCCCCAAAATATCGTATGTCCTTTCATGTCTCTGGAAGGTTTGCGTGGGTTGAGAAATGATGATGACGGTTAAGAATAGTGAATATAGAGTACTCTTTCAGGTAGGTTAGGTGTGAGGAGAATGAGGGAGCTTATTGTGAGCCCCCATAGGAGGGTCTCCAAAGAAGGACATGGGGTTGAGATCATTTTAAAAATTCTTATTCATTGATTTATTTTCTTCAAAAACTCATTTTTATATGTTGTGACAAAATTTATTAAATCCTGTTAAGGTTGAAGATCTAGAGGAAGAAAGAGATACTGAATGGCATAAACTCTTGAAGGAGAATGCACCAGACACAGATGGAGAAATGTGTCTTGACTGCATAGCAGAGATGTGCAGAAGGAAGACAAGATGGGTACTAGATGCAGAGGAAGGAAGGCAGGAAGAAGCAGCTGGAGGCAGTTCGCTTTTATTGGTCTGATTTTTCTCTGCATAAAATAGGACACGAAGTCAACTGATGGGAGTGTGGAAGTGACAAGGGCAAGTTGAAGTCTTGAGGAAATGGACATGTTTGCAACAGCTGTGCTGGAAAATAAGAGCAATATTGGACTAAGGACTCAGAGGCTTTCTAAGCAGCATGAAAAATCATGTAGGATGATATTGATTCCAACTGGCATGGCATTGTGGTTTAACATGATCATAGACAAGGAGTCTGTCTTAGGTCAGTTTCTGCTTTGAAACAGCTTGGCAAACTGTTTCTGTAAAGGGCCAGATAGTAAATCCTTTAGGCTTTGTGAGCCGTGTGGTCTCTGTTGCAAATACTCAATTTGGCCATTTAAAAATATCTCCTAGGCATTATGTAAGTGAATGTGACTGTGTACCAATAAAACTTTATTTACAGACACTGAAATTTGAATTTCACACGATTTTATGCATTATGAGATATTCTTCTTGTGATTTGTTTTCAACCATTTAAAATGCTTTTTTTTTTTAAGTACAAAAACATTCTTATTTCCTGTGTTATACAAAAACAGGAAGTGGGCATTTAACTCCAGCTGCAGGTAAGATTTCTTGTTTATGGCAGAAAGAGATACCTGACACCTGGGTGTTCAGGGGACAAGGCTGTTACTCATCAGAGATGAAGAAAACTGAGAATCACAGAGTTCAAGAGTTCTGAGTGAGTGAGTGGTCCATTGTGGGCCTGCATTTCCATGACTCAAATACAACACAGACATACACCCTGCTTCTCCTGTTCATTTTAGGATATAGACAGTAACTCTTCTCTCATAGCCATATCCTTCTTTTCCGAAATCAGTTGTACAAGAGGGAGAAGAGCGTAGCTGACAAATAAGCAAGGAGAGCTTCTGTTCTTTATTGACTTCATAAAATGAGGGGTGAGGAGGGAGCTGACAAGAGAATCCAATATTGGAAAGACAGTTCCCCCTCAGAAAAGCATCTCTGTGCACCTGTCCTTTCCCAATAAAGGGAATAAGGCCCTTTTGTTGACGTGTAGCCTCACTGAAGATAGAAGTAAGCAGCAGCAATGCTGGCTCAGATGGTGTTAGATGTGGGTAGCACTTGTAAAGATGATGGATGTTGCCAAATGGTAATTTTCTCTGTGTGGTGGCTATGATTGATCTGTGGCTTGATGTGATGGTTAAGACTTTCATATTCAATCTTAAAGAAAAACTATCATGTCATCATACAGTGGGAGTTTCAGATGACTGGGGTGGGGGTGTTGCTGGGACAGTGCTTTTCTTTTGAAGATGAAACACTACGAAAAAGGAATATTTCTCTAAAACTCAAGTCTACAAACCAGTGAAGGCCAGTATATATAATTTTATTAAAGTAATATTCCAAATAAATTCTCTTTGTATCTCTATTTACCCTGTAATCTTAGGTATAAGACTGAAGGATCTGGGACCACAGATAGTGTTTTCATGGCTTCTTTTTTTGTCTTTGGAAGAAGACTTTTTAAAGGAATGTGTGAAGCAGACAGTTGGCTATGTAGCTGATACTAATGGAAAATAAGGTTTGCTTTTCTGGATATATGGCTATGCTGTCAGAGGTGATCTCATAACAAGGGCAGAGAACATCTCATAGTTCCCTGAAATAGAATAATGAACTTGGCAGGAGACAACTCAGCTTCACCAGGAGGGCTTTGAATTTAAATTTTAGAGGCAAAAGGGAGGGATTAGATAAATTTATATATTTAGACCATAATGAGTGCCGTGTAACCCTCCCCCCCCAAAAAAATGTAATGAAAGAGGAGCCTAGGAATTATCAGGAGAAAATACTGATGGCTACAGCAGTCTATATATCAATGTAAGGAGTATTTGTACTATACAAAATGAAGTTTAACCTTTAAAGAAATAAAATAATTTAAGTATCACCAAAACTTTATGAAATCATGACCACAATATGGCATTGTACACAGGAGAAACTCATTCTAAGTTGACATCTGATAGAAGAGAAGGTAGACAGCTGCAGATTGTGTTTAGGAAGTATTAACCTGGATAGAATCCCACAGAAGTGAGAACAGACACTTGATGATAGAGCCTGGCAATCCGGGCCTATGCTGTGAACCAGCAAAAGAAGTGCCAGGGTCCAACTATTCACAGGTGAAACCACTGCGGAATTACCGAGCTTGGAAGTAGAGAAGACCCTTGATTCATTTCCTGGATTTCAATTTTCTATCAAAATTCTCCATCCTTACATCTACTTTACTAATTTTTTTATTCTATTTTCTTCTATTTTATCTTTTCTTCAGTTTGGAATAAATAATTGTATACATCCATTTGACTGGGCTCAGCTATTTGATCAAACATTTTTTTGTGTTTCTGTGAGGGTGTTTTCTGGATGAGATTTACATTTAATCAGTGGGCTTTGAGCAAAGTTGACTGCCCTCTGTAACATGGGTGGGCTTCGTCTAATCAGTGGAAGACATGAATGAAACAAAAGACTCACCATCCAGAGTAAGAGGGCATACTGTCAGCACACGACCTTTGCACTTGAACTGCAGCATCAGCTTTTTCCATGTCGCCAGCCTGCCTGGCCACCCTGCAGACTGGGACTTGCCCGTTTCCCTAGACATGTGAGCCAATTCCCTAAAACCTCTCTCTCTCTTTCTCTTTGTCTCTGTCTCAGATAGATAGATAGATACATACATACATACATACATATGAATGCATATATATAATATATATGAAATTATGTATAAAATTATATTGCTTCTGTTTTCTTGGGAACCTTACTAATACATGTGTTAATTATAGTTATTTCAAAGTCCTCGCCTGCCAAACCCAATATAGGAACCATATATGGGTCTGCTTCTTTTATTTTGTGTGCTGTGTATGGATTATCAGTCATATTTCTCTGCCTTTTCACACATCTAGTATTTTTAAGGCCAGGAATTTTGTGCATACCAGAAAGAATAGGAGAGATCTCTAGAGAAAAATAATATCTGTCGCTTTATGATTCCTTTATATGCAGTGTCTGGAATGTACTACAAGGTCACTAGAGGCAAGGAAATATGACTGATAATTGAACGGGGAAAAGATATTGAAGCAGACCATAATATGATACCTATATTGGAGTTTGCAGACAAAGCATTTAAATGACTATGATTACTTTGGTAAAAAAAAAAAAGAAAGAGAGAGAGAGAGAAAATGGATGAAATAGATGTATGAATGAAGAATTTTAACAGAGTATTTGAAATTATTTAAAAAGAATTGCATAGAAATTCCAGAATTAAAAGACACAATATCCAAAGTCATTAACCCAATAAATAAATTTAATAGCAGTTGGACACAGAATTATCAACCTGGAAGATAGGCCAATAGATCATAATCAAATTTAAAAACTGGGAGGAACTAATATTTTAATGCTATTCAACATGCCGCCAGTACAAATACTTGTGCAGGATTCTCCCATTTTTGTTATGACACAATATATTTAGGCATATGAGATCAATGTTTATTTCTCAGTTGTAGGATGAGTGGGTTTTGCTTTTCTTCTCTTAATTATTACACTTCCCTCAAGAAATATAATAAGGGACATCATCAGTAAGTTATTTTAAGTGTACTTTTCTCCAAATAACCAACCAAACAGCTCACTAAAGAGTGCATGTTTGTAAGTTGAGACTGCTGTGCTGTTTGTGATGCTCAGGAGCCAGAATGTGGCAGGGCTTCCTTTGCTGATGTGCCTTTACCCCAGGGTCCCGGGGCTGGAGGCTCTAAATGCTTCTATCCCTCCTCTCCATCCAGTGCCTTTCCTGTCTGCATCTTTGCTTTGGAAACGTCAGAGGGTCCTACATATAGCCTTAACATGGCAAAAACTGAATGAATGAATGAATGAAACAAGAGAGGAAGGAAAGGAAATGGAGTAAGGGATTTGAATCTCTTTCCTACCATCTTGGGTTCTTAGGGGCCCATAATAGGCAGGGCCATTAACCTCTAGTTAATGAGGGTCCAGCTTTCACATGCAAGTCCTGATAATTCTATTACTATAAGCTCTTACTACCTACCTTCTCATTCTGTCAACCACAAAAGTAGGAAAAAAGCAACAGCATTTCTTATTCCACATGTAGGTAGTTGAGGTTAGATTTAATGAGGCTGCCCAGTGTCTGAGCAGGCCAGTGATAAGTGTATTACAAACAGCTAGACAGATATTCGATCTAGTTCCAGCTTCAAGAAAACCAATGACTTATATACTTATGTATGTGTTTATATTCATATATATATATATGTTGTGTGTGTGTGTGTGTGTGTGTGTGTGTGTGTGTGTGTGTGTCTTTGTGTGTGTGCGTACTCTGTTTTTGAAAAACGTACTGTCAAATGCTACAAGCCCCTTGGCCTTACCCTCATTCAGGGAGAAGATGTGTGCCATTGGAAATCAGGGAGTTTGATGGGATGTGGTGGTGGGAGGAGACACAAAGACAGAGTTTCCAGAAATGGCCAAATTCACTGCACACGTCTTAATAGTTGAAGCTGTATCTCAGGCAGTTTGGTGATAAAAGGAAACACCAGTAACAGAACAATTAAAGCTTCCCCAAAACTATAATCTAAGATATTTTTTAACCTGTTTTTGCCTTTCCAGGACATACAGTCTGTAGCTTGTACTTTTTCCTCCCACCTCCTCCCCCAACACTTGCCCCTCTGATGGGGACCCTGTTATAGATACACAGCATGTATGTTTAACCCAGATATTGTAGAGTCTCCCTCCATCATACAGCATCAGGCATCAAACAAAAAGACTACTCTTTTTCAGTGGATCTAACTATAAATCACTTGAGTGTACTATAGACAATGAATCCTTGGGTAATGGAACCATAAGAAAAGCCTTCCCTGGTTGGAGGAGTGAGGTCAAGAGGCTAGGCCTGCTCTTTTGCCCACTGTAGCATGCAAATGTACGTGTCATAAGTAAGAGCTTCACATGCATCTACAGTGGTATCTGGACTGTTAGCCTGACACTGGCAGAATGAAGCTGAGATTCTCCTGCTAGCTGAGACAGCATCAAGGCTAGGGAATGTTCCTGGAGTCCTTCCTCTCTCATCTCTAGTAAGAATATCCATACATTCCCCAGGCACAAGGCAAGGCAGAGAACAGGCTCCTTGGGACCAGCCACAGCTCTCCCTGGATGTCAGCCCCATCTGTGCCTTTCCCAGCTGCCTCTGGAAGGAGGGCAGGAGACCAGAGCCACCTATTCTGAAAGACAATCAGCTCCATGTGCCAAGCAAAGCAAGAACTTTGGGCAGCTACAGGGAGGAGAAACAGCCCATTTAATGTGCTCTGATTCCCTCCTGGAAAGACTGGAAAATTATCCGCCTGCCTCAAATATCTTCATTAAAAATGCATTTAAGCTGTGAAGCTCTACGAAGGAGAGACCTGTAATACATGAAAGATTAGCCCCAGATTGCTGATTGGACTATTTTACATCATTATGGTAATTAAGCTAGCAAGGCTGTTGTGCTGACTTCAACACTTTCTTCCATTTGCCTTTGTTTCCAATTCAAGGTATTTTCCCCCCTCTTTCCATCTTCAGCCTTCTTCCTTTCCTCCCTTCCTCCCGTTCTCGCCCCTCCCCACCAACCATCTCCTGGGAGCCTTGGCGGGTCCTGCCTCATGCATATGCATTGCACTCGGTTGGATTCAATCTCCCATGGCTTCTCTGCCAGCCTTGTCTTGACTCCTCAGAGTAAAGGGAAGAAATTAATGGTAATTACAAGGTGTGAGTGGATATTACAGTTCTCTATCTGATTGCCAGTGAAACCAAATAAAAATGGAACATAATCAGCCAATTATTAAAACACAGAATAAACAAAAGGAGATTTGTCTCTTACTTGCCTTCCCTTGCTTACTTTTTATCCTCAGACCAGCAAGCCTGGCTCAGGGCAGTGACTGGGGACACCCCTGATAAACTCCCTGGAACTCCACTAGAGCTAACACTACACAGCTGGTGTGCAGGGCCACCTTCCAATGTGGAAGATGGAAAGAGCCTGTTCAAAGCCCCTCCATGATTGGATAGACCCTCCCCGCTCTCTCTCGCCTGCCCCCACCGCCACTTGCCAGAGTCATCGGTACTCCCAAGTGTCCCCACAAAAAGAAGTGGTTCCATATTTCTTTCTACCATTTGTAAATGCATGAATAACTTCTAGAAATAGATGCAAAACTCTGCACTCAGTGACATTCCCCTGAGAAACCAGGAGTCTCTGAGGCGGTGAATGGATTACAAGGAGAAATATAAGAGAAAGTCTTTTCATCTGTGACAGCTGACAGGAGAGGAAAGAGAGAGAGAGAGAGAGAGAGAGTGTGTGTGTGTGTGTGTGTGTGTGTGCACCATCACATACCAAAGCAGTTTTGGCCCAGGGGATGGTCCAGTTAGCTTTCTTCCCTTCCCTGGTGACCCAAGGAAACTGTATCAGAACACTGATGACAGAGGGAAACAGACAAAAACCAAAAATAAGTTCTTCCCTTTCCTTAACATTACTTGTGATATGTGCTGAGATTTTTAATTATCTAAAAGTACTGTATGCATATGTTCACACCCACAGCTCAGTTGTAACCTGAGGAGCAGCTCAGCATGGAGGTGTAAGGTCATCGTCTTTGTCGTTAAGTAGACTTGTTCCTGCCCTTCCTGACTAATTTACTAGCTGTGGGGCCTTAGGAAGCTTACTTCCTCCAAGTCTCAATTGCCTCATTTGTAAATGAAGACTATAATCATATCCACCTCATGTATTTGTAAGGATAAAATGAAATAATGCATGCAAAGTGCACTTTATGAATATTCATTGTTATTACACAACAATATATGTAAGTGGTAAGTCAGGCTTTAATCTTTGAATACATTTCTTCATAGATTATATTGCATGCCATGATCTCGAAAAAATACCTTACCTAACTTTTGGGACTTCGGTGGGTGCCCGACTTTGCCTGGCCACCCTGCTATAATTTCCTAGTATGTTTGCTCATTTTCTTCCCGTCTCTATTCCATTGTTTAACTCCTAGACTCCTCAAATCTTCACACCTCCACACATCTTACCATCTCTTCCTTCCCAATAGAACCTCATTTCATAAGCTCTTGAGAACACAGAAGCCTCCTCATGGGGAACAACCTCTTCTTCCCACAGACATATTTAGAAAACTATCAGCACCTGTCCTCATACCCCTTCCTCCCACTTGCTAAAAAAAGATGATGTCTCTCTACCACTCTAGGCGGCTGTAGCACCTTTTCCTGCACCCTAGATTCCAACCCTTTTTCCTGCCTGCTACGGACTTCACTGCTGTGGCCATTGCCTCTCTCCCCAGCATCATCAATATATGCTTCTCTGTGGAACCACCCCTATCGGCATCCAAATATCATCTAGGGTGCCTAACTTATAAAGAAAACAAACAAAAGCACTCCCTTTAACTCATTGCTTTCTCCATTTATCATCTCATGTTTTTTGTTCTGTTTCACGGCAAAACATCACAAAATAATTTTATAGACACTTATGTCTCCACTTACTCTCAATTCATCTCCTCTTGAGCACACCCATCAACCTTTCATTGCTGCCTCTCCACTGAAATGGCTCTGCAGGGTCACCGACTCCCCCTCTGTGGTTTAACCTGTGCATTGTGGGACACAATCACAGCATTCACGCCGATGGACAT